ATCACATCCAGTATGAATGATGAACGCCTGGACCAATTCGCAGCCCTTGTGTGAGCGCTGACGGCCATGCCAAAATCAATACAGGCTGTGAATCAAATCGCTGTGGTGCAGGTTTCCAGTATAGTCACACCCTTGATTGTGTCTCTTTCAGTCACCATAGCTGCTACTGTAGAACAGTTACTTTTTTTGGACTTCAGCTCTGAGAATCCCTAAGCCCTTATGGCCTATGTTGTTGGGAAAGTTACTTTTTTTGGAATGCAACTCCCAGAACTCCCCAGCTAACGTGGCTGCTGGGCATCGTAGTCCAAAAACAGCAACTTTCCAAGTGTCTGCAGTGTAGGATACCACATCTTCCTTCTCCTCGACAGAAACTGTTCGCTTCTTTTTGCCCTCCAGAGCCTTTTAACTTCCACGCAGCTCTCTTTCGGCCCTAAAGTTCGGCCTGGGTTTAAGCTAGGAGGTAACAAGAGGGAGAGCTGGTGTGATCTGCATCCTGCTGAATCTTTTTATTTTATAAACAGGGTTGTGTCTGAGACTAAGAGACAAATAACCGGTTTCTCCAAGGTCTATGTGGAGACTGCCAGGGGGACAGATTAGTTTTTATCTCAAAATAAGACCGTTGGGTTCTTTCTGCGTTCTTCTCTCTTATCGCCTCCCCGCCTACAGTAACCGCACGCCGTTGATTATTTTTATTTTAAAACACTATCTTTACAAGGTTATTTCTGGGGCAGGAGCTTCTAGGGAAGGGAAATTCAAGATGATCAGTCTCTTGTTGGCTGATGTTTTTCCGGAAGGTGATTCGGGCAGGGACTGGGTTAATATAAAACTTAGATATGACGAGTGGGGAAGCGAGCGAAGAGCCAGCCTGCGATGCAGTTTTTTGCTGCTTAGATCAGTTCTCGCCGAATCCCGAAGCTGGACCAGGCCATAGATGTTTGCAAACTAGATGCCTGTGTCTCTCAAATTTTATTTTGAAAGAGGCAGGAGAAACGTGTCAATCGAAACAGGAAAGAGAGAAAGCTTAAAACCCGTTTCCCCAGGGGCCTGTCCTTGATCATCCACTGAAAAATCAGTGTTAAGTTATGCAAAGCAGCAAAACTAAAGAGAGAGAGAAAACATTGTACAAGCTTCCTCAATTTCAGTCATTTACAGACGTCAGTGAAGTCCAGGTTTACTCATCACCTGCCACTTTTGAAGTGGCTAGAGGCCCGCATCTTCAATTATTTTTATAAAGAGCGGAATCCATGTAGGTCTTGCCCATAAAAACCCAGCTTGATTGCGCCATATATAAATATGCTAAATGATGATGTACTCAGCTCAATTCTGACTCACAACAAACCTTTTCAGGCTTTTCGGTGGTGCGTCCTGGGACGGTGTGCAGCTGGCCCAAGGCTACCCAGGCTGGTTCTTCTCCCAGGAGGCCCAGTGGGGGGAATCGACCCCCTTCTCCCTTCCTTCCCCTCCCCTTCTCACTCGTTTTCCTGTTTCGGAGAGCCCTCCTACTTTTGCCGTCAACTGAACAAAGTTAGATGTCCATGTGACCCCAGGAGCCAATGGAGAGGTTGTCTGGGATTCCCGGATAAGGAAATAATCAAGAAGGAGAAAGCTGGAGCGTGGAGGGGGGGGGGCTCTTTTAGCATTTCTAGCAGCAGCGCACCTTCAAAGTGGATGCAAGATGCATGAATATATTTAAAATACTTTTACCCTGCCTTACTCCTTAAAAAGGACCCAAGGTGGTTTACATCATTCAAAGACAATATTTAAAACTAAGATAAAGAGGTAGCTTAAGTCATGAAAAGACAGTATTAAAGCTGAAAGAATAGTTGTGTAAATAGTAAAAAGGAACAAATAAATAGCAATTGTGTGCCATTGAGTCAATTCTGATTTATGGTGACCCTTTTCAGGTAGAGAGGACTTAGAACTGCTTTACCCTTCCCTTCCACTGGGGGCACCCTAGGTCTTTGTACAGCTTGCCCAAGGCCACCCAGGCTGGCTCTTCTGGGAGGTGTTACAGACCACTCTACTTCGACCTGATCAGAGCCTGATTAGCAGCGTTTTAACCACCCTTAGCTGCCGCTATTTTTCCTGGGGAGACAAGTTCTGGATTCTGAGCACTGAGTTCATCTCTTTCGGCTGTTGAGCACGCTGCGCTTTGCCCGAGAGAGGGAAGCCAAGGTGAGCTCCCTTGACAAGAAAGCAGATCAGCCTTATCAGCCAAGCCATGTGGTTCAGCAAAGGGCTGGGCACGGTGTTAATTTGGGTGGTTTCATGCATGGGCGACCAAGGGGGAAAAAAGGGCTGGAATGAGTCCATGCGTTCACGCTGCTTGGTAGAGGGCAAAGGAGGCATTGCAGAGTGTTCCCGAAGCATGATTTAAAGGTTTTTGACGTTACCTCTGAGAAACCTTGGCCTCCACTACCAGTGGTAGAGGGTTATGGGAGTTATAGTCCAAAGGAGCTGGTGGACCATAGGTTCCACAGTCCTGTCCTAAAGTAGGCAAGGGAAACTTATGTCCAAGGGTAAAATAAATCTACACTTGCATCCTCCATTTCCAATACCGAGAGGTAACTGTAGATAGAATCATAGAAGAGTTGAGTTGGAGCTTCTTGTTGTTTAGTCCTTAAGTCGTGTCCGACTCTTCGTGACCCCATGGACCAGAGCACACCAGGCCCTCCTGTCTTCCACTGCCTCCCGGAGTTGGGTCAAAGTCATGTTGGTCGCTTTGGTGCCCCTGTCCATCCATTTCGTCCTCTGCCGTCCCCTCCTCCTCTTGCCTTCATACTTTCACAACATCAGGGGCTTTTCCAGGGAGTCTCCTCTTCTCATGAGATGGCCAAACGATTGGAGCCTCAGCTTCAGGATCTGTCCTTCCCGGGAGCACTCAGGGTTGATTTCCTTTAGAATGGATAGGTTTGTTCTCCTTGCAGTCCAGGGGATTCTCAAGAGCCTCCTCCAGCACCACAATTCAAAAGCATCAATTCTTCGTCGGTCTGCTTTCTTTATGGTCCAGCTCTCACTTCCATACATCGCTACTGGAAAAACCACAGCTTTGACTATGAGGACCTTTGTCGGCAAGGTGATGTCTCTGCTTTTTAAGATGCTGTCTAGGTTTGTCATCGCTAATAAAATAATATATTTAATTGCAATATAGGATTCCTGCTGACAAAACAAAATGACTACTGTAACAAAAGGCCTTTTTCCAATGAGATTTGCTCGCCCTACACGATCTTCTTAGGCTCAGAGAGAGGCCCGGAAAGAGAAGTCCCGGGCTCTCCCCAGCTTTGGAATAATCTCCTGCTAGAAATTTGCCTTGCCCCTTCCCTGGGAATTTTTAAGCCATTGTTGAAAATGTTGCTTTTCAGACAGGCCTTCCAAGACCTTCTGACATCTTAACACAGAAGTGGTTTCCATGTTTATACTGTATATGATCAGTTCCACCGCCTTGCCTTTATACTATTTTAAATTTTTTTTGGTTAATATTGTGTCGGTTGTGTACGTGATTTAATTCTATAGTTCTTACGTTCGCTGTTTTTTATATTGCTGTTGATTATGTTATATTATGTCCTAACGTTGTAAAATGCCCAGAGTTGGAAAGAAAGAAAGAAAAATATTGCTACAAAATAAAATAAGTTTTATTCTTGCAAAATACAGTAGTTAAAAGATTTTGTAAAGCTTGGTTCGATCATCAGACCAAAGGGGGACTGGAGCCAAGAAATCAGAAGGAGATGGTTAACTCGGAAGGGCAGCAATGAAGGAATTAGAAAATATCGTCAAATGTAATTATGTGTCACAAGAGACCAAGACCAAGATCATCCACACTCTTATATTTACAATCACCATGTGTGGGTATGAAAGCTGGACAGTTTAAAAAGCTGACAGGAAAAAAATTTGATTAATTTGAAATATGGTGCTGGAGGAGAGCTTTGGAGATACCCTGGACTGCAAACAAGAAAAACAAGTGGGTCCTAAATCAAATTAAGCCAGAACTATCTCTGGAAGCAAACCTGTTGATACTGAAGCTGTCCTACTTTGTGCATATACTGAGAAGGCATGAATATCTGGGAAAAATAATAATGCTGGGAAAGAAGGCAGCAGGAAAAGAAGAAAACCAAATATGAGATGGGCTGATTTCCTAAAGGAAGCTACAGGCTTGAGTTTTCAAGAGCTGGGCAGGGCAGGGCAGCCGAGAACAGGAAATGCAGATCGCTCACTCATAGGATTGCCGCAAGTCTGAGGCAACTTGATGGCACATAAACAACAACAATTTGTCAAACATGTGAAAAAGAAGATCCTAAAAGATACCATCTCTTTTTTATTGTAGAATATTTTCTTCTTGTTCTGCCTCAGAAACAGAGAAAAATGTGTTAACAAGCAGCTGACTCCTCTTTTCTATTATTGTGGAATCTCTACCTTATGATTATGTTCACCGGGTGATTTACTGTTTCCTCTCTCCCTGCAGGAGATCTGCGACGACCCCCACCTCTTTGTGGATGGCATCAGCTGCCACGATTTGCACCAGGGGCAGGTGGGGAACTGCTGGTTCGTGGCGGCTTGCTCCTCCCTGGCGTCCAGGGAGTCCCTCTGGCAAAAGGTAATGAATTGGTGGAAATTATAGATCCTTTCCTCCTCCTAGTGGCTCTTATAGGGAATTACAGATTTGTTCCTCCCCCTAGTGGCTCTTATAGGGAATTACAGATCCCTTCCTCCCCCTAGTGGAGCATATAAGGAATTACAGATCCCTTCCTCCCCCTAGTGGCTCTTTTAGAGAATTACAGATCCCTTCCTCCCTCTAGTGGCTCTTATAAGGAATTACAGATCTCTTCCTCCCCCTAGTGGAGCATATAAGGAATTACAAATCCCTTCCTCCCCCTAGTGGCTCTTATAGAGAATTACAGATCCCTTCCTCAACCTAGTGGCTCGTATAGGGAATTACAGATCCCTTCCTCCCAGGAGTGTATAGTTTCTAGGTAGCATGCTGCGTTTTCAGCTACTTGCAAGCCATTGTGATCCAGGTAGGAGGAAGTGCCAGTTGACCATCTTGTGGAAGATGATCTCCCACGGATCTTTTCTTGAAAATCATCCCCTAGGCCTCACAATGGAAACTGTAGAACTGTTGAAAGGGTCCCCATGCTAGGAAAATGTTACGGGGAGAAAAAACAGAGTCTGAAAAAGCAAAGGATCTCGCGATGCTTCAAAATGCTAACAAATTTTGTTTGCTGTATGTGTCAAAACAAGACCTGTGCACTTTTTTTTATAGTTTTCTGATTCCATCTTTCTTCTAGTCTTTTATTCCTTTTATTTTTTGCTTAAATGCACCTCCTCCTCCTCTCTATTTTTAAGGTAATTATAGTTTATTAAGAAGAAAATAAACCTGACGCACCTTCAATTTCTTCACCTCTCATTTGGAGTGCAGGTTTTAAGTCTCCGCATTTGCTACCTCCAGAATTTGCTAAAATATTTTGAATTTGCCATCCCATCAATTTTTTAATGTTGAAAATTCAGTTCTAGAACCTTGTTGGCAGTTGATTTTTCTTGCTGGAAAAATATGCTGACCAATTTAAGTTAACTTATATTTACTCCATAGTCCGAATGAATACACATTGCATAACTGAATGCAGAATTTAGTTTGACCAAGATCTCACCTAAATTTTATTTTCACTGTTATTCCTGCAAACATTGCGCGTTGTGCTTCCAAACCCAGCTCATGACAGAGGAATACAGAATAAACCAATGCAGAGGGGAAAGTGGTTTCAACAATGAATAATTACGGGGTGGATTTAGAGGTTGAGAATGAGAAAGGATGCTAAGAGAGTGTACTGTACATGAAAAAATAAAGGTTTTGCCTTCAAACCTTTCTGTATGGAGAATTAGTGCAGGGAAACTGTCCCAGAGGGAGACCACAGCTGCGATACAAGGAAATCTGCAAGCGGGATCTGAAGGCCTTAGGAATGGACCTCAACAGATGGGAAACTCTGACATCTGAGCGTTCAGCCTGGAGGCAGGTGTTGCATCACGGCCTCTCCCAATTTGAAGAGACCCTTGTCCAGCAGGCCGAGGCCGAGAGGCCGTCCTGAAACCAGCCAAACCAGGGAGCTGGACAGGGAACAGATGATATTTGTCTTCAGTGTGGAAGGGATGGTCACTCTCGAATTGGCCTTCTCAGCCATACGAGACGCTGTTCCAAGTCTTCCATACAGAGCACGTTACCATCATCTCTCAAGACAGAAGGGTGCCTACTACTGCTACTATATTTGAGGAGGCAGTAGTTGTTTTATTGAGATTTCTGCGGACGGAGGGGTTGGCTGACTCAGCGTTGCCAACCAGAATTTGATAACATCTTAAAGGCAAGCAGGCATTGTTTGGCATAAGCGTCCATGAATCAGAGGCCGCTTTGTCTGATCCACAGCAGCTTATGCTCGGTAAAACCTGTTAGCCTTTAAAATGCCACAAGACTGTTCATGGTATCTAGAGAAGTCTTATAATCAGGGTCTGAAGTTGTAGCTAAAATGGTTGATGCACCAAGCCAGCCCCAGTCATAGTTAAATCTGATTTATCACTGTGCTTCCCTTAAATGTCTTTAAAAAAAAGGAAAGTGAGTTATGATCCCATCTTCTGCTGTTCCTGTATTTCCACTTTCACTTTTGCTCCTGTGGAGCCCATGCCGGCATTTCCTCTCGGCTCGTTCCCTACAGGATCTGTCTGAATCACTTGAGTTTTATCTTGGCACCTGGCTTTCCCTCCTGGCTAACCAGCCTCTTTCTGAATGAATAGGGAAGTCAAGTAGGTGCCAAGTGGGTGCACGCTGATTCATGTGCACACATGTAGATGGACTAATCTCATTGTTTTAATGTACTCTATAAACATGGCTTTCCTGTTGCCGGCGATAAGCATCAGATGATGAATTTTCAAGGCCAGCTGATTTGCAGAACATTAGGGGTAGCCGGCTGCTGTATATGCTCGTGGGAGAAATGCTCACAGAAAACTTCAGCTTCACCATTAAATTAAGTCTCTGCAGTTCTTTTGAGGTAGGGTGTAAAGTGATGTAAATTCTTCCTGCTCTTGCATACATATGTGAGATGGGGAGGGAGAGAATGACAAACTGTCCTCCCCAAAAAGCCTGCCTGCAAGACAGTGATATATTTTCTGCCAATACAGTGGAACCCCTTTCTCCGTGGTCCAAAAATATTAAAAGAAAAATCTTAGAAATATATACTTTAAGGGTGATGTTACCAGACCTCTCCACTAGAGGGAGCCACAGGCCATGGTAGGTATAGTGTTCACCACAGAAATAGGTTTTCATGTTGTCATTACCAGAACTGACCATGAGAGGGAGCAAGAGACCATGTTGTCTATAACATTTGCTATTATACTGTTTGCTGTAATTCGTCTTTTTCAGCCTCGGGGGGGGGGGCGCCGGGAGTTGGAATTGATTCCCCTGCAGATATGGGGATCCTGTTATATTGGTAAGAATTTTTCTGCCTTTGCAACAGTGACTTCTGAACAAATTACAAATGGACTTTTTGCCTGGACTTTAAAAAAACATCAGAAGCCTCAGATGGGTTAGTTGGATCTTTTTGATCAATCAACCAGCTTTCCATAAGCATGTGTGTTTGCTTGGTTTTGCCCTTTGATAAAATGCAAGGTTTTCATGCAAATAGTGGAAACCTAATGTGAGAACTCTTTGCTTGATTCTCACGCTTGAGGCGAGACATCTCGTGAGCTTCTGTGGTTTCTGGGCAGGCTGTCTTGGTGAGAATTTGTCACATCCCGATAATGAACTTCAAGGCTTTAAGAGGGATTCAGCACCATCATGGAGGATGAACTAGTTAGTCAGAACAGCTGCCATGTGTTACATCATCATCCTCATGGACCGTACAGATCCTAGATCTCAAGCGACGGACCTCTGCGGGAAAATTGGAGAATTTCCCACCGATGGGGACACGCTTCGCGGGACAGGCTGTCAAGTCAGACTTAAGCCTGGCGACTCGATTCAAAATCAACTTGAATTTTTCCCCCCAGTGATTTGGACTTGATCCGACCTACCTCTCCCTTTTTACTTTTTAAAGTTTTTAAGGACTTGATTCTTTCAGCAGGCTTTAACTCCTGTCAATACTTGACTTTGACTTTCTACTTAATCTTTTGTTTCATATTTTCCATCTTGATTAATACTAATATTGTCAATGTAAATGGTTGTTTTAATAGTTTTTATGAATAATTTTATTGTGAGCCTCTTTGAGTAGACATATGTCTAGAAGAGTGGGAATGATTGATTGATTGATTGATTGATTAATTAATTAATTTTTTTGATGAGGACTCAGACTTGGGGCTTAGGATTCAGAACTTGATGCTGAAGACCTCAGTCTTGCACTTGGGACTTGGGACCCAAGGACTTGCCATCATCTGCCATCATCCCTGCAAGTCGGTTTTTTATGAATGCAACTTCCAGAATCCCCAGGGAGCATGGCCAGCTTCCAAAGCTATGCTCCATTCTGAATACTGTGGGCCAATGGGGAAAGCACGATGTACCGAGATCTGACAGGGTGGTTCTCCTGCTTTTTATTAAAAAATAATGATAATTGCATCCTTGGAGTGGGAAAGTTGCCTTTAGATGGGATGGGAAGTCAACTGTTTATCTGTGTTATTCTCCAGTTGAAAATTGTGTGCACATACTGTACATCCTCAACTAAAGATGCTATTTGCAATGTGGGCGATACAGGCAGACTTGTGCGTGGTCGCCGTAGGATCTTACTGATACAGAACACAGTGTGTGTTGGAATTCAGTACAGTAAATGGGGAAAAACATAGCAAAGGGATAGCAGAAAAGAATCATAAATTTGCAAAGCAGCAAACCCTAAAACCTGAACACATCAGATTTTAAAACAGATGTGCAGACAGCCGTGAAGATTGAAAGAAATGTCATTTCAAAGATATCTATAATCCTGCAAAAAAAATACTGTGATAAACAAAACAAAAAACAAACACTTTAACCCCATACTGAGAACGCCCTGTGTTCTTTTCCTTGGAGCGAGGGGGGCAGGAATGGAAGTTTGATGGAAGGGTGTTTTAATAAAGAAAGCAGTAGAGAGGGAAAGCAAGGAAGCTTTCTTTCATAATTCTGATTTGATCTCTCCCTTGGCCTAACGGGGACATGGTGGCGCTGCAGGTTAAACCGCAGAAGCCTCTGGGCTGCAAGGTTGGAAGACCCATTATCGTAAGATCAAATCCATGCGACAGGAGGGAGCTTCCGTCGCTTGTCCCAGCTCCTGCCAACCTAGCCGTTCAAAAGCATGTAAAAATGCAAGTAGATAAAATAGGAACCACCTCAGTGGGAAGGGCACAGCGTTTCGTGTCTGGTTGCGCACGCCACGTGACCACGGAAACTGCCTATGGACAAAACGCTCGCTCTACGGCTTGGAAACGGGGATGAGCACCGCGCCCTAGAGTTGGACACGACTGGATTCAATGTCAAGGGGAACCTTTACCTTTACCTTGGCCTTCAGACCAATAATAATGGGATGCCAGTGATTTTAACTTACGGTGATTTTAACTGAGTAGAGAAGACTCAGAAGTGTATTACCACTCCCTTCCACTAGGGGTGCCCTGGGACTGTGTGCAGCTGGCCCAAGGCTACCCAGGCTGGCTCTGTTCATGGGCGGCCCGGGCGGGGGGGGGAATCAAACTCCCAACCTGGGTGGCCTGGGCGGGGGGGGGGAATCAAACTCCCAACCTCTGAGTCTGCAGCCAGATGTCTAAACCACCGAGCGATCTAGCCAGCTTCACCCGCTGTAGCTGCTGCTAAAACTGTAGGAATCAACTCAGGAAGCTTGAGTTTTCCTCTGTTAAAT